CATATATATATATATCGCATATATATATATTGCTCACATACAAAGTAAGAAGGGACATTCACAAATATATTCCTGGTATTGTATAGTTTTCCTTGACGACAGTTTGTGGGAATCCAAACAGCTAGTGAATGTCCCCTCGTAGACTGTCACTTGAGTGTCGGCCAGTTTTGTTACGTTCTAGGCTGGTGGGATCCTAACGGGCAAGTCTGGATGTTGTTTCTTAGAGCAATGAGAAAAAGTTTACATTTATTTCTTCCAGAAATTGGTTTGAAAAGTTAACATATTTAGCCGTTTGACTGCAGTTTAAAATCTGTATAGTTTTCTAGTAATATGCAAAACAGTTTTTAAAAACTTAAAAAAATTTCTGCCATGCTCAGAGAAGCAAACTGCCCGTCACCAGTCTGACAGTCAAGGTCATTCCCCGGAAAATTCTGACAGAACTTGGAGAAAATATCGAGGGTTTCCCACACACCCTGGGGCGACGACTGACCTACTTCCTCACGTGATGACGTTGTTCTGTAAGCCTAGAGCATGTGGATAGATCGCCTCTATCTGACAAGCACACATTTTGTTCTGGTGGAAAAGGCACACATACACAAAGGGAAAAAATAACATTTCCATTTTCCCATTTTCCCTCTGTAAACTAAACTGTAATACCTTCCCATGGTTTTGGTAGAATATATTTCATCTTCAGCAACAACAGTACAGGCACAGGAAATTGAACATTTGTCATAAAGTTACATTGATATCGTAAATCATCAAATTTGGAAAACATGCACAAACTTTCACAACCAAAAACTGGACAAGAATTTTACGTTTCTTTTCCCAGTAAGATAAAAACGTGACGAGTAAAGACGTGTGTACGAGAATACAAGGATCATACAGACCTTGTGAGTAAAGACGTATATATATACCGAAATACAAAGATCATACAGACCGAAATACAAAGATCATACAGAAGTCATGAGTAAAGACGTATATACTGGAATACAAAGATCATACACAGCTTATGAGAAAAGACGTACATATATATGTACGGGAATACAATGATCACACACAACCCATGAGAAAAGACGTATATAATATATAAACGAGGAATACACAACTCTAGTTCCATGTACATAGCTGCCAACTATTCACAAACAAAAACAGTCTGTACCCTCACATTGGTCAAGATAGTAGACTTTGGTCAAGTACCCCCCCTCCCCCCTTACTACCAAACTGTTCACACACATTTTTCCGTATTTCATCAGTTCAAGCTATTCCAAGTAGACCTACAACAAAAGATTTCTCCAGTTGACTTGCGGGCTTCAGGTTCAACATTATTTCTCAATCTGGTCTCGACAGTTCAGAATTTCTCCTCAGCTTCAGCCAATCCAGGAGCAGCAGGAATATAGAACACAAAATATGTGTCAGGACACTGTGGAGTCAGGCACTTGTCAAGTTTTGGCTATGTAGAGTTATTGGTACAATACCCATTTATCATAGAAGTTGAGATATTTGTGACTGAAGGAGGTGGGGGTCGCCTGGTTTCAGGGGGGATGATAGCGAGAAAATGGCCGCCAAAGTTTGGTAACTTCAATTGCTTAAGAGTCTTTGAAAACTGAAAATTTACTTATTTTATGCCTTTCATCAATGTTTTTCAGTAAAATTGACACAGAAATGGGTTGTTATACGGACAAAAAAGGTGTAGAGCCCCCCAAAAAAATTCAATAAAAAATGCAAAACTGGCAGACAGGTGCCTATTTTTACGAGCGCCTGATTTCACCACGATGCCTCAAATATGTGTTTTCTGATACGAAAATGGACTTCCAAGCTCAGCCACTAAATAATGTATTAACTACGTTTCTTCCAGGTACCGTCTGGCAGCTATGTACATACCATTCACACCAGCGACCTCGCAAACTACGGAATATTCTCGTCCAGCTGCACACAGCTCTCCAATTGCTCAACCTAGCACAGTTACAGACATTTCTCTCATTGGCTTTATTTATCTTTGCGAAACGAAAACGACTTGAAGAGACTGGACGATCGTCGGTGGGGGGCGGGTTGACCTTGAGTCAAGGACACTTCCAGCTCGATGCCGTTGCCCATGGGTAGCCATTTGCACACGCTGTCAGCGTCTGAGGAGAGAGAGAGCGACGGAGTCAGGGGGAGGTAACTTCTTTCTTCTTTCCTGACTCAACATCAGACGTAACAACACAGGCTACACCAGGACACGATAGAGAGAACGTAACAACACAGGCTACACCAGGACAAGATAGAGAGAACGTAACAACTTATTTCTTCAGAACAGCCATCTGACACAGACACATGGGAACATCTGACACATGGGAACATCTGACACAGACACATGGGAACATCTGACACAGACACATGGGAACATCTGACACATGGAACAGACACATGGGAACATCTGACACATGGGAACATCTGACACATGGGAACATCTGACACATGGGAACATCTGACACAGACACATGGGAACATCTGACACAGACACATGGGAACATCTGACACATGGAACAGACACATGGGAACATCTGACACATGGGAACATCTGACACATGGGAACATCTGACACATGGGAACATCTGACACAGACACATGGGCTGAGGACAAACCATCTGGACAAAGCAATCAAACAGACGAGTTGAGATAAGGAGACCATCTATACAGCTATCTCCCAACAGGGAGAGAGATAAGGAGAGACAAGATAGAGAGAGAGGGAGAGACAAGATAGACAGAGACAGGATAGACAGAGACAGGATAGACAGAGACAGGATAGACAGAGACAGGATATATATATATAT